TATATATATATATATATATATATATATATATATATATATATATATATATATATATATATATATTTGTATTTCTTTTAGATTTTTGAAAATTTAGTGATATTTTTGAGGTAAAGTTAAAAATAATTTTTTAATAATTTAGTATGTATGTATATATATATATAGTTAACTGTCAGGTCAGAGTTTCACCTGCCCGATATTCGTCCTTGTAAACCGTCATTTGTATTTTCACAGACGCCACAAAAGAGGTAGCCCAGCCTTTGGCTTGGGCTTCACGTGTTCATCTTTATGCCTCTCAATCATTCGCTTCTCCACCGTAAATCCAAGCTAACATGCGGCAGATATGGCCCTCAAACCCAACATCAACTACTGATCTGTCCTCGCTTCCTTTACGCCTGCCTCAATGCTCATGTTTTACTCTCGTAGCTTATGTTAGCGAGTTTGACTCGCCAATGTTTGATTCTGACGGCTGAAATGGAACTCGGTTTGGTGTTGGATAAGGTCTAAGTCTTCGTTCTCTTGTTTTACGGACTCAGAAGACGACGCATCCGGATTTTTCTTCCAGGTAAAGCTGCTTTTTCTCCCCAAAATTATGGTTTCCGGATCGATTTGGTTGTAAAATTTCGTATCTGCTGGTTTTTGTTCTCTATGCATGATGTTTTAGTTGCTTGAATGAGATTTGGTCTTTCAATTAGGTTAAGTCTTGCTTGCCATAGGATGACTTTCGTGTTTTGGAATCGTTTCTGGAACTAGATGTCTTAAAATGGCTTACTAGGAGTATGAAGCTTATGGTTATCATTCCATTTGTGAAGATGGATAGTAATACTTGCAATCAAGAATCTGGAAGACTTGAAATGCAAGAACTGGAGAATATTTTGAAAACTTTGACCAAACTAGAATTGGACTTGGCCTATTTGTCCGAGAAATCGATGAATCTTCATGTACTTTTTATGTGCCTACTGGCTCAGGAGAATGATTTAGAAGCAATGGATTTGGAGAATGATTATATCTCAGATGATTCGTTTCGGAAGGTGTTGGCATTTGATTTTTTGTCTGCCTTTTTGGACTCTGAGGTAAGAGCGCTGGACAGTGTTATGGACACACTCAAAGCAGAAATAGTTGATGTCCGTGGAATGATATCTTCTTGCAGACAATCAAATGAAGTTTTCTATTTGGTAGAAGGGAAATTGCATGATGTTGGATGAAAAGTGTCCCACATTGGTTAATTTAGGGAATGGTCATGGGTTTATAATCTAAGAATACACTCTCCATTGGTATGAGGCCTTTTGGGGAAGCCCAAAGTAAAGCTATGAGAGCTTATGCTGAAAGTGTACAATATCATACCATTGTGGAGAGTCGTGTTTGTCTAACACATGATTCTGAATAATCGCTCAATCAATCTCGACAGCGGATTTTAGAAGTGAAGATGCAGTCAACCAAATTGCAGAGAATTGTTTTAAGCAGTGGAAATTGTTCGTGGTTTATTTTCTTCAGTTACTAATGATCTTAGATGATGAAGAAGTAACAATTTTGTAATTCTAATTACTCTGCCTTTGTGACAGGGAGATTGGAGGATCCCGTAATGTCGTCGTCACAAAATGATCAAATTCTGAACTTGAATGGGAAATCAAACACAATGACTGAACAACAAAGACATATTTTAATGATGTTAGAAAAATCACTTGCGAGGGAGCTAGATCTGGAGAAGAGGTTGTCAGAATCAAAGCAACGAGAAGAGGAGCTCAGATTGAAGCTACACTATACCAAACAGGTTGTTTTGAAAATGGAAGAGGCTGCAGAAGTTGTTTGGGGTAGGTTTCTGGAGGCGGACAATAGTGTCGAGATTCTTATGGGAATTTCAAAGGAATTAGTTGGCCGCCTCCAGCTCGTGCAGCTTAATCTACATGGTTCATTTCAGCGTGAAAATGAGATGAAATCAGAGTTGCTAGACTGGACGGCGCAGCTTAGAGCAAAAGAAGTGGCTATACTGGAGCTTGAGCGAAGGAAGGCCGAACAAATTGCTAAGAACGCCGAACTAGATAAATTGATGGAAGAAGTGAAGTCTCTTGAGGAACAGCTTAGAGAATCTAGGCTTGATCTGAAAAGTGCATATGAATCGAATGAGGTGATTCAAGATCAGCTTTTTGAAATGGAAAATCTTGTTGATTCACTAAAAGAAAGCATCTGCATAGCAGAAACTAGAGCAGAGAGTGTAGAAGCCAAGCTCACACAGATCCAAGAGACAAACCTGGAACTTACCGAAGAGGTGAATTATCTTAAAGATAGTGCAAGCAATAAAGAGAAAAAGGTTGGTTCACTTGAAAAACAGTTGAGGGAACTGGAGATTCAATTGCAGCATGCAAAATCATCATTGGAAGCAGGTCAGGAGCAACAAAACATGTTATATTCTGCAATATGGGACATGGAAACTCTAATTGAGGATCTTAAATCCAAAGTTTCTAAAGCTGAAAGTAAGACCGATAGAGCAGAGGAGAATTGCATTATCTTATCTGAAACAAACTTTGAACTCACTAAAGATCTTACTTCCCTCAAGGCTCGAGCGGAATTCTTAGAGAAAGCATTGGATCAAGCTAACAATGAAAAATTTACGAATGCAAATGAAATTAACTTGAGTACCAAGTTTATCAAGGACATGGTGCTCCAACTAGCTGTTGAAAGGGATCGAATCCAGAGTCAGGTATTATTTTGCAAAATCATTGATCTTTTATAGATTTTTCAACTAATCTTTTAAACTCGTATTTGAATTTTTAAACCTCTTTTGATTGTTACTTTGACTCAATTGTTTTGCCTATTTCCGGCGTATATATTCTTACTTATCAATTGCAATACGTTTACTCCAGTGGCCTCTTTTGATAAACTAATACAACCATGTATTTCAGTAACTCGAAATAATCGGACCAAAATCTTAATTTATCATGACATTGGAACTTGTGTTAGGAACCACGACTCTCCACAATAGTATGATATTGTCCACTTTTAGCATAAACTCTCATGACTTTGCTTTTGGCTTCCCCAAAAGACCTCGTACCAATAAAGATGTATTTCTTGCTTATAAACTCATGATCATTCCCTAAATTAGCCAATGTACTTTAGTTTTGGTTAGAATTTTCTTTGTATATTCGGGAAGCAAATTCTTTGAAAACCCTTCTGTTATTTTTTTCGTATATGTACTCTAATAGATGAGTAAATTTACAAAAACTCCAGAAAGTTAGTCTCATCCAGCCCTTGTTGCTTCTGCAGCTATCCATTTTGACAAATGATAACAAAGCTTTAATTGAGAGACTGAAAAACATCAAAGATGGCGCATACGTAACACGCAATAGAGAAGATTATGACAAGAAGGACCGGTCAGCTTCAAAGAATGATGTAAATATACTGGATCAATGATGTCTGAAGAAGCTTTTATGGAGTCTAACAAGGTCAAGAGGCAGGTACTCTTTCTTGCAAATCAAATAGAATTGGGCATATTGATGAATTGCCTGATGACTGTAATTATACAACAGCCAGCACTGTGCTCAACTGAATAATTTGTTTCTTGGTATCAGATTCCTTAAGCACCTGAAGGATGCACACCCAAGTATTGGGCTGGAGGTACCCATATTTTTTGTGTCAATTTTTTCGTTACTTATTTCAGTATCATTGTATTCTTTTGGCCTGAATCTTCCCAACTCTATGGTTCTTTGTGGTTAAAATTGTGATGGCCTTCGAATCCAAAGAGAAAAAAGAGTTGGGATAGAGTCAAGCTCACTGCACATTGCCTTGCCCCATGGATTCCATTATTGTTGTCGAATATATATATTTTTTTAGGTTGTGGTGGTTTCTTTCAACTTCCAGTTAGAGGTTGTGTGAGATTTTGTTGATTACCCTGATGTGAATATAAATTATTGTATTTGGATTGAAGGTGATGTATTTCTACCATTTTCCAAGAATATGGAATATTCATCTGAACTCGTTTCTCCTTAGCTTTAGTCAGACAACAACTGAGAGTGCTTGTGGTGAAGTTCATGTGACCAAAGGCCCACACTAGCTAATTAAAAAGAAGATCATGAGCATATTCTATGTACAATATAGTCAATACCATATTATTGTTGATGTTTTGTTGTCTGTAACATAGTAATAGACTGAAAGAATAAATTGTAGAACTAAAATGAAATTATTAAATTTTAAATACTTTTACGAGGGACTAAAATGAAAAGTCGGTTTTACCCTCAAAATATGCTGTTAATGAAGTTTCAATTTAATTGAAAATAGTTATTTTCAATACCATGCTAGCTATTTATTTATCCTTTATCTCAAGGGTTTTAGTCCAAAATTAACTAAAATATAATAAATTTAAGAGTTTTACTGCTTAATATATTCATTTTTAATTTTTATTTAATTATATACCTTTTAACTTTGAAATATATTGAATCACCAAATTTATAATTATATATAATAAACTGTGCCAATTACAAAAATTACTTTTTTTATTAGGTACCGAGGTGAATGTAAATCAATTATTGTTGCGACAGAATCCCATAAGGAAGAGGGCCTCCACTAACTCTACATTTCTTGTAAATAAGTCAGCTTAAATCATTTATTTAAAAAAAAAAATTAATATGCAATATTTTGTAATTTGCAAAGGGAGAGTTGTTAATTTATAAAAATAAGAGTTTAATTGATACCATTAATTCTTCTTCGAACTTAATTTAATTAAGAGGGAGTACAATGTTATAAAATTATTAATTTCAATTTTAATTTGATAAAACCTAGAACTTAGGAGTATATATTGATTTTTTCTTTTCAGTTTTTTTTTTTTTTTTTTTTTTTTTTTTTTTTTTTTT